GGATGGATATGGTCCATAGTGGAAGCACATAGGGTGAAGAGGGAGTGTCTGGAAACACCGCCAGATCACAACCTTGAAAACCTGGTCAAGGAGCTTGAAGTTGAGGCTGAGAGCACTGGGAGTCGTGGAGAGGCTTTAAGCCCATGTGTGTTGGGCTCAGACCTAGCCTTTAGAAAGCTGGCTGCGGCTGCAGTGTGAAGAGCGGTCAGAGGGGCAGGGGAGGCTGCAGGGAGATCAGGCGCAGGCATTGCAGTGATATAGGTGAGAGATGACAGAGCTGCAGGGAAGGGGAGTGGGTAGGGACAGAGCCAGCAGATCTGAGAGATGCACAGCCTTCGTGGTTAACTAGATTTGTTGGTGGGAGAGGGAGTATTCTTGCCATTCATCCAGCATGGACAGGAAGATGACTTATTGTTTGCACCAAATGAATGAATCAGTGGATTTTCTGGGCTCAGTGCTCCTGTGCAGGAGAGGACAGAGACCAGCATGGTGTAATTAAACCTCTTCTTTTGTGTGTATTGAGCGTCAAAGCTTGCAGAATGCTCCCATAAACATTATCGAGGTTCCTCCAGACCAAAACTATCTTATCAGCCGTCAACTGTGCTTGAACTTTCACCGTTAGACAAGTATCATCGCGCGGGTGGAAAGGGCACTGGTTTGGGAGTTGGAGAACCTGGTTTAAATTCCTACTGTGGGCCGGGCGCAGTGGCTCACACCTGTAATCCCAGCACTTTGGAAGGCCGAGGCGGGTGGATCACCTGAGGTCAGGAGTACAAGACCAGCCTGGTCAACATGGTGAAACCCCAGTCTACTAAAAATACAAAAAAAATAAAAATAAAAAAAATAGCCGGGTGTGGTGGCAGGCATCTGTAATCCCAGCTACTTGGGAGGTTGAGGCAGGAGAATTGCTTGAATCTGGGAGGCGGAGGTTGCAATAAGCCAAGATCGCGCTACTGTACTCCAGCCTGGGCACCAAGAGCAAAATTTTGTCTAAAAAAAAAAAAAAAAAATTCCCACTCTGCATTTGGTGTCCATATGAACCCTGGGCAGTCATTGAACTTGTCTGGATTTTGTCATCTGCAAAATGAGGATAATGCCTATTTTACAGAGTTGCTGTGGAGATGAAATAAAAGCATGTGTATGGAGACATCCAGCTTGTTTCTGGACCAGGATAGGAGCTTGGCAAGAAATTGGTTGGACATGAATCCCTCAATTTAAGTCAGGTCCCCAAGGAAGAGCATCCTGCAGGCTGAAAGCTGGGGATACAGGAGAGTGGTGTGGGAGGGAGCTGGTCTGGGAAGGGGAGTTGGTGTGTTGAGGTGGGTGAGCTGCTGCTCCGGGAACAAGGTTCCTTTTGCCACAGTTAGCTCTGGGCTAGCTCAGCAGCAGCGCTCAACATTCCACAGAAGCAAGAGGGCATCCAGATGAAATGTCATTTTGGACTCACAGATATTGGCATTGGGATGGTCCCTTCTTAAAGCATTCATCATCAATCGGGAGGCTATTGATTTAGCCATCTAGCTTTTCTGAGTTTGATGACAGCCATGAGGCAGCCTATTGTCTCCTCAAGCTAACAGAAAGAGTAACAACCCTCCGCAGGGCACGCTTGAACCAAGCTCTCCTGATGGATGCTGCCATCTGGGACTTCCCTTTGGGGCCCCAGAGACCATCAGATAGCTGAGAGCCAGCGGGGTCAGACCTGGGCACTGCCTCGTTTCCCTTGGCCCTGTGTGCAGCGGAGACAGGTGAACTGGTAGGGAAGTCTACACAGTGGCCTGTGGTTAGTACCTGTTCCCTGTGGTTAGTACCTGTTGCCTAGAAATTTTTCTCCTGGTTACCGAGTTCTGGAACTTAACCATATCCCACGTCCACAGCAGGGCCAATCCAACCTGTGGGCAGAGCTAGCTGCAGCCCGTGTTCTGTAATTTTAATGACCTCGTGAGGCTCCTTGCCTTCGCCTCCCTCATCCTACCCTAACTCTCCCCCACTGAATTTCTGGAATCCCAAGACAGATGGTCCCCTATTAATGATAGATCAAATTATGAATTTTTGACTTAATGATTGTGTGAAAGGTGTATGCATTCAGTTGAAAATATACTTGCAGTATCATACAAAAGCCCATTCTGTTTTTCACTTTCAGAATAGCATTTAATAGATTACATGAGACATTTGACACTTGGTTATAAAATAGGCTTTGTGTTAGATGACTGCTAAAATGTAGGCTAATGTAAGTGAGCACGTTTAAGGCAGGTCAGGCTAAGCTATGATGTTTGGTGGGTTAGGTGTATTACATCCATTTTTGACTTTTCTTTCTTAATGTTTTCTTTTTCTTTTTGACAAGGTCTCGCTCTGTCACCCAGGCTGGAGCGCAGTGGTGTAACAACAGCTCACTGAAGCCTTGAACTCCTGGGCTCAAGCAATCCTTCTACCTCAGCCTCCATAGCAGCTGGGACCACAGGTGTGTGCCACCATGTCTGGCCAATTTCATTTATTATTTTTTTGTAAAGGCAGGGTCTCCTTATGTTGTCCAGGTTGGAACTTCTAGACTCAAGCAATCCTCCTGCCTCAGCTTCCCAAAGTGTTGGGATGACAGTTGTGAGCCCCCATGTCTAACCTAGTTACACTATTTTTAACTTACAATGTGTTTATCAAGAGGTAGCCTTCATCATAAGTTGAGGCCCATCTGTATATTCTCAACATACTTCTTTTCTCTAGCAAGAGACCCTAGTTCCTAAAATGACCCAGCCTTCTTATTTATCAATGGGTAACTTGGGGAGAGCATGTCGAATTTGACCTCTGGCCCCTAACTCAGGGTTCTCTAAAGTAGAATCTGGGCGTCATGGACTACAGTGCATTTGAAAGTCCAGTGGAAGTTGCTCCTCACCCCCATTGTGGGAATATTAACCCTCTTGCCTCTGGCTGGCTTTGTTATGTCCTTAGTGCAGTGACGTTGTTTGTACCTTGCTGATGGAAAGGGCTGGATTCCTGCCTCTTTCCCTCTTGTCCTCTGGCCTGATGCAAGGCTCCCACCACGTGCCTGGCAGGATCCTCCCCTTTCTGCTCAAGTCACTGCCAGACAGGGTTTCGGCTGGAGATGGAAGCCAGAAGGAGAAGGAAGTAGGGGCTTCTCATGCATTTGCTTTTAAGAAGAAAACGCTCTTTGCCCCATGTCTTCTCCTTCCCATGGGCAGTCTCTCTGTTCAGCTGTGGAGAGGGAGTGGGAACCAGGGTCCCCACCCAGGGGCAGCAATGATAATGTGGTCCTTGGGGCTGACATGAGGCATCAGCACTTGCTGGGAAGTAGCGGCAGCTGGCAGGCCAGCCAGCAGCCACCGAAGGCACAGCTTCAGCAATGGCATCGTGCTGTCTGCCTGGCTGACAAGGCCCTTGTTGGCTGTTGGGGCTGTGTAGGCAGCAGTTGTAAACCAGTAACAGTGCTGCCTGTTTGCAGCAGGAAAGGGCCTGGAGGGGACTTGTCTCTCCTTGGTATATTTGTGTTGGATGATTTGTATGTGCACGCGCACACACACACTCATAGTGATGGTGGAGGGGAGCAGGCCACCCACTCCAGTGGGACAGATGACCGTGAGCATGCCCTAGGCTGGCTCCATTCCCCTGTCCAACATCCAATCAGTCAGAAGGCCACTGCTGCAACTGTTCAGTGAACAACTGGACCTTGACCAAAGAGGCCCTGCCGACACAGCAGAGTGGCTGGAGCTCCCCTGCAAAATGGGTTCCTGCCTGGGGACCTCCCTGCGTAGATCAATGTGCTTACATCGCAAGTGGCAGGGACTTGTTGGGTTCACAGCAGCTGTGTGGGTTGGCCCTCAGCTGCCTCCCTGACCATCCCCATCCCTCTGTCTGGGGATCCCCCTGAGCCCAGACTACCTGAGTGCTCTTCAGGCTTCTCACCGCCTGATACGGTTTGGCTCTGTGTCCCCTAAATGTCAAATTGTAATTCCCAGTGTTGAGGCAGGGGCCTGGTCGGAGGCGATGGGCTCATGGGGGCAGACTTCCCCCTTGTTCTCGTGATGGGGAGTTCTCATGAGATCTGGTTGTTTAAAAGTGTGTGGCACCTCCCCACTCACTCTCTGTCTCTACTGCCGCCATGTGAAGAAGGTGCCTGCTTCCCCTTTGCCGTCTGCCATGATTGTAAGCGTCCTGAGGCCTCCCAGCCATGCTTCCTCTTAAGCCTGTGGAACTGTGAGTCAATGACACCTCTTCTCTTTATAAATTACCCACTCTCAGGTAGTTCATTTTAGCAGTGCGAATACAGATGAATACATTACCTTTCAAGCAAGGTTTCTAGACAGAATAGTGAATGAAATAATATGAGCATTTTATATCATAGAAGACAAAAACATGTACTTCCTTTTAGCTCTGGACTGGGCAACTAGTCCCCTCAGCAAAGACCCGTCTTTCTGCATTTGCAATGAAAACGTGTCCACCTCCAGGTCTGGGGATGAGGACAAATCAGTTAGGTGGTGCACGGTGGAGAAACCCTGTCACAGTGAGTGAGATGGTCTTGGGGGCAGGAGCGTGTGTCTCCCCAGACAGAGCCCCCTTGCTCCTGACTTCTTGCCACGCTCTGCATCTGCTGCAGCCAAGCAGAGGCGGCACCTGCAGGGGGTGGAGCTCACCGCAGGCTCATGAACAGATGCTGGTGGCGCATCAAGGTTAGATGGTATGAAAACATGGACTGACCGAAGGGAGAAAGCCTGAAGAGGAGCACAATTTAAGAACACGTATTTGAGCCTGGCTCTCCGTTGCAGCCAGCCGCTAATAACGCTTGTGAACGGGAGTAGTCAGTTCAAACACATCAGTGATGAGGGCTGACAAAAGAAGGGTAAGCATGACCCTATCCAATGTGGCCAATGGTCCCCTCATAGGGGAGCCATGGCTAACATAGCAGCTTCACGATGTAGCAGTGGGTCGTGGTACATTTGATGAACTGATGGCCTGGGAGTTCCTTGCAGAGGAGAAAAAACATCAACAGAAGGTAGTGCTAGATGCAATTCCTTTATTATCATTATCATGTCCCCTAGCACACGAAGCTGGGCTTCCACTGAGATCAGCTAAGGACAGGGGTATGTTTACAAGGAGAACAATTTCTCTGTAGGCACTAGGTTAAGGCATCATCTCTGTTTCTAGAATACTGTGATGACCCACGTCCATGGGCCAGCTGGTTCCAGGAGCCCATCTGGCCTCACCAACATCAGGCTACCTGGAATGAGGCCTGGCACTTGCACAGGGCAGGGCATGGGGAGCAGGCCTCAGGTTTCTAAGCAGGGCTGGGCACGGCTGAAATAAGGGAAGGGAGCAGCCAAAACGCAGCAGGTTCTCCCAAGGCACGTAGAAGGTGGTGGGAGAGCTGGGCTGGGGTGTGTAACTTGTCCCCTTCCAGGAAGGGACCCAGGCGCCTGGTCTCCTGGCCAAGATCACAGACCATCTGAGAGTCCTCTAGGAAGAGCAGGCCCTGCACAGATGCACTGCAGAGAGGCCTTCCTGGCAGGCAGTGAGCTGACCATGGTGACCCGCTTCACTCCCAACCCCCAGGGGTGGAATGAGTTGGGACTCTCAGCTGCTGCAGGTGGAGCTCAGCTGGAGAACCTGAGGGGCTTGTGAACCCTGAGCGCTGTGACATACAAAGGAGGGTGGCTGCATCTTCCTTTGGGGTTTGGTCTAAAGCAGTGGTTCTCAAAGTGTGGTTCCAGGGCCAGCAACTGCAGCTCCAGGGAACTTGTTAGAAATGCAAATGTTGGCCCTGCCCCTCCTGATGAGAAACTCAGGGGGTAGGGCCAGCAATCTGTTTGGAAAAGCCCTTCCAGGTGATTCTGATGCTCAGCCAAGTTGGAGAATGACGGTTTAGACGCTTGGTCACTGTACCCTCAGCGGATGTGAGCCTGGCACAGCAGCCATGCAAAAGACTCAGGCCCAGAGTGGCCAGTACATCAAGAATGTTTTCTAGGTGGTGGCAGGGTGGGCGGTGATGACAGTGGCTGTTCCATCTCACGTCTCCAGCCTCAAGACCCCGAAGCAGGGCCCAAGTAGCAGATTCTGAAACCAAACCTGGGGCAGGAGGGCCCCGAGCCACATCACAGTGACCTCCCATATTCCCCCCACACCCCACAGGGCCATGCTGGACCCTCTGGCTGTGCGTAGCACAAGCTCCTTGACAGAAATCACACAGGGTCCACCCCAGGGCCCCAGCAACAGCAGATGCGCCGTGCAGGGGTTAGAAACAAGGCAGAGAAGGGCCTCACCTGGAGGGGAGGTGGTCAACACACCCCCAGTGTGCCCCTCCCTGCCCAGGGTGGCTCTGGGAGTGGGTGTGACCTGAGGGGAGATCTCCATGTGGACATGAGATTCCATACCCTGCACGAACGCTCTGAGGGCTGAGGGACAGTCTCTGCTCTCACTTTGGGGTCATTGTTGGCACCTGGGGTGATGGGCTGGGTGGCTGTCATGAGCCTTGGCCCCTTGGGCTCCTGCCCGCTGCCTGAGCCCCTGCACCTGGGGGCCCAGCTGTCAGCCTGAACAAGCCAGGCTTCTGAACCCTCAGCACATGTGAAGGAGGTATGGTGGTGGCTGCTATGTGACAGTGCCCCCTGAGTGACACTTTGCTCCTTAATGACAGCCCAATGTCTCATTACAGAGATGGAAAACTGGGGGACACTGAGGAGAGGGGCTCCTGGCCCAGCTTTCCTTCCTTCTCCCTGGATAGGGGTGGCAAGACAACAGCCATTACCACTGACAAGCAAGTCTTAACTTTGCCCAGCCTTAATTTCCTCATTTATAAAATGGGAGAAGTCACCCTCTTACTGGGGTAACTGCAAGATAAGTATGATGACAGATTCTAAGTGCACAGCAGGCCCCCGATAAACACAAAAAATCCCCGGACACACTCCTCACTTATCTGCCTGAGGGGCTCCTGGAGATGGGGTTAGGGTACCAGGGAAGCAGGAGGGAGAAAGAGAATGGGCACACGCATCCCATCCCCTCAGCCAAGGCCGCGTTTCCTTCCTGCCTCCCGTCCTGAAGCAGGTCACCCGGGGGGACCTGCGGACGTGCCCTTCTCTCTTGGTGTCTGCCCCTGCGAGCTTAGGAAAGGGCAGCATGGTGTGTGCAGGGCAAGGACGTGCCCGTGCCAGCTGGGTGGCATCCCAGCACCTGATGCCGCTTTCCTGGGTCCCCGGTGTGCAGGGGCCTTTCGCCTGTACAGGACTGATGGTGACGTTCCACAGGCATGTCTTCTGTCTCTCAAGACTGACAGCCTCCAAGCAGGGGCATGGGAGGAACTGACCTGGGCCCAGATCTATGCCCTTGACAGCAGGAGGGGCACGCCCTGCTCGGGACCGCATCCTTGACTCTGGACTCCAGCTGCTGGGCACTCCCAGGCAGAACCTGCCCTATCCTGAGCCTCCGCTTTCCTCTAACCTTCTCTCATCTCCCAGGCTGTTGGCATGGACGAGGTGGTCAGATTTCCAAGAAGCCCTGGGTGGTTCTGCCGCTGTCTGCAGCTTGGACCAGCCATCCTCCAAGTGGCAGTCTGGCTGGATGACACAAGGCAGGAAGCAGCTAAGCCTGCCCCAATCAGGTCGGCCCAACCATCACATGGGGCTGTGGCAGATGGGGCAGCTCTCCTGGGCCTGCCCTCAGTGACAGGCTGTGCACAGGGCACTTGCCTGCCATCTGTCTCTCTTCCTCACCAGGGCAGACAGATAAGGCCCCAGCACCCCCTGCCCACTGCTGCCTCCCCCGATGCCCCGCCAGGAAGAACATGGCTGTAGCCTAGTACCCTCTCTCTCTCTCCACTCTCCCTCTGTAATAAGACTTATCTGTTGTGATCTAGCCCTTCAGAGAGCTTGGGAGTCACAGTTGATCTCTGATTACCTGCGCGACTCCCAGGAGGTGGGAGGGCGGCAAAGCTAATCATGCGCTACACCGTTTCTCTTGGCCTCCTGCAGTCTGGGACATCTTGTCTTCCTTTTAAAGAATTTGCATCAGCAACTCCAGGGTCTTTTAGGCAGGGGAGATAAACCAGCCTAGCCTCCAAGAAGCCACTGGAGAATACCCAGAGAAAAGGAGGCAACCGGCCCCACGGCTGGGCTTCCCTCCGTCCACGTGGGTACTTGCTGTGCTGAGGATGCAGTTCCGGGCCTTGTTGGGGTCAGCACTGGGTGGCCTTGAGGCCACTCCTATGTATGGGAGAGAGAGCACCCCTCCCCCAGGACTGGCCTAGGTCAGCAACGTGCTCATCACGGTGCGAGCTGGATCAAGTGGGGAGACGAGCTGGGGCCTCTCTCCGCCTCGGTTGTAGCACAACAAGGTGGCCCCCTTAGTAGGGGGCACGAGAGAGGGTCCTGCCCTGGGGAGAAGTGCAGGACCTGGGGAGGGTGGAAGCCAGGCGAGGGGTTTTAGTGTAATGGGCTGCCCCCTTGTAACAGTCATTTTGGGGGGTCCCTATGGGTGTCGTACGAGTTGATACCTGTTCTCTGGAAAACTGCCAGCATGCATACTCTATTTTCTAGGCTTTGCTTTCTGCTTCTCCCTTAGCACTGGGGAACGTTCTTGCTGAAAAATTCCCTGCTGAATTTAGTGATGCAAGAGAGAACCCGAGGCAGAAGCTCTGTTCACTCCGGGACAGGTGGGAGGGAAGCAGAGCTCTGGTGGCCACGGGGTGAGGAGAGGGCCCCAGGAGAGGCAAGGCTCAGGCAGATCCCCTCTCCTCAGAGCTGCCCTTTCTCAGGGGCTCCGACTTTGAAGGGTTGTGAGTTGGCTCCACTCCAGGAAATGCTTGACACCCACCAGCATTAGGTGCTAAAGATGGTTTAAAAACCTGATGTTCCTGAGAATCAGGCCCCAGAACAGGAGATCCCTCTGGTGGGCATGTCCCTAGAGGCCAGGGCTTGGAGCCAGGGTCTCCCCAGGGGGTTTCTCCCTGGAAGGTTGCTAGGCAGGCACAGGGCTCTGCTCCTAGTGCAGCATGTGCTGGGGTGGCCACCTTACCCCTGCTCCCTGCCAGGGCAGCTCCGCCCAGCCTGTGGCTGCCCTACCCAGGCCTCCCCACTCCCAGACCCTGCAGGAAGGAGTGAGGCCAGCAGGATATGGCTTTCCAGGTGAGGCAGTGTGGACAGTGGGCAGGTCAAAGAGCAAGGTCTTCTGGGGGAAACGCCAGCCCTCCCTGCCCCACCCCATGCATTTTCCAGAATCAGCAAGGTCAGGGCTTTTGAGCATGGGTGGGGGAATCCTGTGCTGAAAACCCAGGGGACCTGGATTTTCTGCCCATTGTTCCAGGTTCAAGAGCTGGGAGGGAGCAAAGAGCCCAACTGTCAACCTCTCCTAGTCCACGGTGTCCCTGTGCCCGGTGTGGGACTCTGGCTGTCTCCTGCCCAGGATCTGGCCATGGGAGCTCAGAAGTGGAGGAGAGGGGTCTGAGGGTCCCTGCCTAGGTGGGCACAGTAGAAGCTATAGTCTCAGGCACTTGGTGGATTTGTAGATGCTGGGCACAGAGGAGGGGGCATCTATGGCCCTAGTGGAACTGGTGCTAACTCTGCAGGCCTTGCGGATGGCAAGTGGCCACCCGTCCTCCTGCAGGGCAGTTGGAAGAAGAGGTGGTTGGCCATCAGTAAAAATGCCGCTGGAGTCTCCGGTGCAAGCAGCAGGTGAGAACCATCCCGCAGATCTGCCGGGTGGAGAGAGCAGAGGAGCAAAGAGAAATCAGAACTCCTGGAAGCTGCCGGCCCTCAGGGCCCTGGAGCAGTGCTGCTCACTGGAATCCCTGGGGCCTGGACAAAGGGCAGATTCCTGCTCAAAGGGCTGGGCCTGAGTTTCTGCATTTCTGACAAGCTCCCAGGGGATGGCGATGCGCATGGGGAAACCACAGTCTGCCAGCTACTCTCCAAGAGCAGGGCTTCCACCCTTTCGTGGGCATGCGTCACCTGGGGACCTCCTTATTCCAAGTCTGCAGGCCTGGTGGCAGCCTGAAAGTCTGCATTCCTAGCAAGCTCCCGGTCACTGCTGCTGTCTGTGATCCTCCATCTTCTCCAGAGATGGCCTGATTTAATCAGACCCTAAGAGTAATGTTTCCGCTCCCTCATCAGAACTGTCTGAAGCAGACTGTCTCTCTAGGAAAGAGTCTGCCTGTGTTTTGCTGTCCTTGGACTCCAGAGATAAACTCAGGTCCATCTTCGATGCTTTGGCTGGCGTACAGGAGCCGTGGGAGAAACAGACTCTGGGAGGAGCCCCTTGAGCTGTCACCCTGTCGGTCAGTGTAGATCAATCAGCATAGAATGCAGCAACACGCCCAGGCCCCGAGAGTCCTGTCTGCCAGCCCTTCTGTTGGTATCCTGCAGGCTGAACACGGAGGGGCTGGAGCATCCAGTCCAAAGCACATGCAGGCCTGGGAGGATCAGCCCACATACCCCTTCTCACTTTTCCCACTTACAGAACGTGGAGGAGCTTTGTTCTCTCACCTTGTCCGTCATGGGCTCTCCTCTGCCACCTTCCTACTCTTCTTCTCCTCCCTCCCACCCAAGGATGCATTGAGGGTGTTGTGATTATGATCCTGATGATGACGATGACATGGTTTTGGATCTCGGCTGTCTGCACACAGGAGAGGGGCACTGGGCTGCAGCAGCCGCGTGACTATCTGTGGGACCTGAGGTGAAGGTGGCTCCCCTAAGTATTGAGATGGTGTCCTGACTTTCCTAGCAGCTGCTGCTGCTGCCTTGACCTTGCCGGTGCAAACCTGGATGCAGTTGGAGTTCTACCCAGCGGGAGGCGAGCAGGCCTGGGGTAGATGCGTGTGTCCTGTACCCAGCCTCTGGCGGGCTAGCTGGGGGAGGAAGTGCGGAAGGTGCCTAGTCCTCTTCCCCACCTTCCTTCCTCTCCATCCCTCCCAACCTGGAGGACAGCGTGGGGCATGAACGCTGCTTTCAGCCTGCAGATGTAGGTGTCAATTCACCTGGGGCCTCAGGCGGCTTAGGAGGTTATCTCATCTCCCGCTAGCTTTAAGCAGGCGGTGGTCGTGCTGTTCCACCCATGCAGGTGTGGTGCAGCACGTTCTCTTTCCCTGTCCCTGCCTCGTGGATTGATGATTTTCCTGTGGGGTTTTCCAGATCTTTCTAATCTGTGCTAAGCGGGAGGCCAGAGGGAGCTGTTTGGCCGGCACAGATTTATGCTGGAAACCATGTCTGTACCACCTGCAATGTACATGTCCTGCTGGGGGAGGGAAGGCCCACGCTCTCCGGCAGACAGGCTCCTGTATGAGCTGGGTGTTCCCAGGGAGCCTCCCAGGACAGGCACAGCAAGGGGGAGAGGTGAGTGGGTCACACCCTCATCACTGCGTGCACATGCGCGCACACCCACCCACCCACACGCACACACCCACGCGGACGCATGTGGAGGGATACAGGATGCCCACCAGTCTGGTTCCAGAATAAGCGCCGTCTCCCTCCTGACAGAGGACACTGAGAAACCAGCGCGGGTGGCTCCAGCAGGGGGCGCGCAGAGACAACATCATGCCAGCTAACTGCAGGCGCTGGAGGTGGCAGACGTGGCGGGGTGGGCTTTCGGGCCCAGCCTGCACGGTATCTGGTGCTGTCTTCTGGCAGCTGCATGTGTGTGGCACTTGGCTACATATAGGACATTTTTAACAGGGAGGCCGTGTGCCTTCAGCTTCCTCTGAGGCTTCTGAGTCAGCACCTGGCTGTCAGCAGAGAGCATGAAGGGAGGGCCAGGGAGCTTCTGGGGAGTCCTTCCGAGATGATTGCTTGCTTTCCCTTTTAATGACCTGCCGGCCCCAGTCTTGACTGTCTTGTGAGTTTTCTCTGCTCTGAGACTGTTTCCAGTCGTGCAAGGTGAGCATGTTGGAGGTGGGCTGGGTTCTATTTGATGCTGCACCAATGGCCTGTGTGAGCTTGGGTACGGTTATCTCCCTCTCAGCCTCAACCCCCCTCCACCGATAGGAAAACATCTGGTTTCTACACTGGTCTAGGGTCTTCCTTAGCGAGATTCTTTAAAAACTAGAATAACAGGTACCAACAGTACAGCACCCGGTCCTTCCAGCACCCCAATCCTTTGAGAGGCCAGGCAGTGGTTCCCTGCCGCCCTCAGGATAAAGCCCCCGCTCCTCACCTCGCCTGCAAGCTGGGGCTTGCAACATGCTATTCCCTCACCCTGGTGTTCCCCTCTGTCACTTCCTATTGGGCTCCTTTAGGACTGAATGAGATGGCACTTCCTCCAGGAAGCCCTCCCTGGCCTCCTGTGACTGGTTAGGGCCACTGATGTTTGCTTCCTAAACCCCAGCGCTCCTGCTAACACCTAGCACTGCACTGTGAGTGCCACACACTTATCTGTCCCTTTCCTTCAAGCAAAAGCTCCCTGGGAGAAGAGATGGCACCCTGCCTGCAATGGGGCCCCGGCACTGGCCACGGCACCTAGCACATGGCAGCTCTGCAGCCAAAGTAAACACAAGCATGGGCCCCTCAGCCTCCTCTGCAGGCTCTGTGGGCGGAGGCTCCCAGGACGCTGATGTGAGGAGGGCCGCAGGAAAAGGGCTGGGCTACTGTGACACTTTTGGTAAAATGTTCCCCAGCTAGAATATTCTAGAAATTAGCTTCTAAAGTTACCTCAAAGTGGAGTGCCTCCAGAGTCCACCCACAAGAGGGGAAGCTGGTGCGGAGGAAGCAGGCCTGTGAGCTGGAGGCCTGGCCACTCTGCCACAGCAGCTGTGTCACCTTCAGCAGGGGACTTTGTGATGGGGCTTGAGGTCCTCAAATGTGCATGAATAAGATGAGCCCAGGGGCTCTGAACCCCAAATGCACATTTGACCCACCTAGGGGGCTTAAAAATACATGTGCACAGACCTCAGCCCAGACAATCTGAGCCAGTTTGTGGTGGGGAGTCTGGAGCAATGGTTTTTTTTTTTTTTTTTTTTTTTGAGATGGAGTCTTGCTCTGTCACCCAGGCTGGAGTGCAGGGGCACAATCTTGGCTCACTGCAACCTCCATCTCCTGGGTTCAAGCAACTCTCCTGCCTTAGCCTCCCGAGTAGCTGGGATTACAGGCCTGTGCCACCACACCTGGCTAATGTTTTGCATTTTCAGTAGAGACGAGGTTTCACTGTGTTAGCCAGGATGGTCTTGATCTCCTGACCTTGTGATCTGATCGCCTCAGCCTCCCAAAGTGCTGGGATTGCAGGCATGAGCCAGTGCACCTGGCTGCAATGGTATTTTATTCTATTATAGAATACAATGGTATTTTATTCTAGTGAATAATTGTATAATAGAATTATATGTATTATTTAATTCCATCCTAGCATTCAGCCAGGGCCACCGGCACTGGTCCAGGTAGTCCGTAAGGTTTTCAGGCGGCATAGTCTGACTGGCGGGGGGCAGGGAGTACCTCAGCACTGCGATGAACCTGCCCAGGTCTGAAACTGCCTTTGGGTGCTGTTCCATGACTGAGGTGAGTGAGGAGCCTGAGGGGCCCCTGCTGAAGAGATAGGCGCACTCCCAAAATGCAGAACCTCTGCGTGGAGGGGTCTCTGCGGATCAAGTGCCGGCCCCCAGCCTCTGCCCCAGCCTGCAGCCACAGAGAGTGTAGTACTCTGCAGGGGCCACTGTTTAGCAATTCCAGTTGTTCAAAACTTCTCCAATGTGTCTCCTTGAAGAATGTTTCCCTTCTGTCCTCTGGAACCTCCCAGGACGTCCCTCCCTTCCCCACATGGCTGCCTTGGGTGTTTCGAGACCATGAGGGTGCTGCGTCTGCTCCCCATCTCCTGCCCTCTTGCACATCTGACTTCCCGGCCCCACACACCCCTTGCCACTCCCTCTGCCTCTGGCCGCACAGTGGAATTACTAGAGAGCTTCACGAAGACATGGATGCCCGGGTGCCAGCCCCAGACCGTTTTGTTTCATTTTGCTGCGGGCAGCCCAGGCCTGGGGTGGTTTAAAGCTCATCAGGCAATCCCAATGTGCTACCAAGGTTGATGACCCCTCCCTGGGGACTCTGCGGGGGTCTGGTCCCACCTGGAGGGTGGTCTGAGCCGGCAGCGCTGCCCCCGGCTCTGTCCACGATTTCCACCAGTGCAGCTCCAGGCCACATTTCTGTGGGCAGCGCCCTATCCTGTAACTCAGGCAGATGCCCCCACTCTGTTACAGGCTTAAATGCAAAACAAAACAAAGCTCAAATGCAAGGACTTAAACTCTGTTAAATGTTTTACGCTTCGTTTCAGCACGTCTTCGTGTCCCACAAGCTCTTTTATCAATGCTGGCTTTATCATGCAACAGACCAGACATGCTATGTAAATAGTTTAGCGTGCTTCCTGGGTCTTTGTTGAGATCACCAAGAAAAGTGTTGAAGAGACAGGCCTGAGGCTGAAGGCCATGGCTCACTCCTGGAGACCTGTTGCCAGGCTGGCGTGAGCTCTCTCCTCTCCCTCTCACAGCGTGGTCATCCAGCCTGCCCTGATTTCTCCAGAGCATACAAGTGCCTGGTCCACACGTCCTCGAGGCAACAAGTGACGCATTGCCAAATGCCTGGCTGGAATCCAGGTGTGCTGCCTTCACTAAACATTCATCTGCTCTAACACTCCAGGTGCTGCAGGACATCAGTCTCAAGGTCATTGGTTCCTGAGATGGGAATCTTACTGAAAAATCATAGCACGTGAGATCCAGAAGGTTCCCCGGAAATGGCACCCAGCTGTTCTCCACATTTTACAAATCAGAAAGTTGAGACCCAGAGAGGTGACTTACCCGGGGTCCCACACCCTGAACTGGTCCTCTGGCTTGGGTCCCTTTGCTTTCCCAACCTCCCTACCACAACACAGAGGACTGTGGGAAAGAGAAGCAGGGGACAGTGGCCTTGGCTGGCTCGGAAAGACTTCCAGTGCAGGGTCCTTGGAGACCATGGTGCCACCTACCCACATTGTCTGTGGTCCTGGAGGCTCCAGCTGCAGCCTAACATACAGCTTTCAAGCTGTACCAGAAACTCCTAGTGTAGCTCAGGGCCACCAAGGGGAGCAGTAAGCAGAGGCCATCATGCTAGGTTTGTCCCTGCCTGGAACAGCTCCACCTCCTATACTTCATGTACTGGGCTCTATGTGAGACTCCTATTGAAAAGAGGATGCTGCTGCTTAAAAAAGGCTCACAAATATCCAATCTGTCCATTTTACAGGTAAGGACACTACGGGCTCAGAGAGGGAATGTGATTTCCCTGAGGTCACACAGCAAGAGGTGGAGCTATGTTTAGAAATCACGCCCTGTAACTCCCAAGCAAGATTTCTTGCAGTAGCTGGGAGCTGGGAACATGAAGACACCATCTTGGGGTGATATGTCCCCAGCCTTGGGGTCTTGGAAGTGCCAGGCTGGGTAGGTAGGGGAGATAAATGCCTGGTGTCCGCTCTCTGAGAGGGAAACTATGACCCTGGGGAAGAGACTGGTATGAGGCCCTTTCTCATGGCTTCTGGCTCATCAGGGACTAAGCAGTGTAGTGCCCAGCGTCGGCTGGCAGAGGGAGCTCTAACCCGAGGCTTGGCTGCTGCAGGGCTGGCTCGGTGGGTCCCAGAGGAGAAAACTGGGCAAGAGATCCAGAGCCACCAAAAGCCGTTCCACAACAACGGCGAAGGAACACAGAACGCATGGTGGGGGCTGTTAGTGGGCAGGAGGCGTGGCAGGGCTGCAGGTCCACTGCTCAACGACCTGACTTCTTCAACATCAGACCTACATAGCCACGCAGTCTACCGTGACCGTCGGCTCCCGGCATCTGTAGCCCCACGCCCTGCCCTTGGCCCCGCTGCCTTTGTCTGCAGCTTTTACAGGCTCTCGAGGCCAGAGAGGTGAGGAAGAAATGGACAGAGTGGCCTAGGCCTGGTAGGTGTCCATGCGGAGCAGGCCCCTAGCACCTGGAGCAACAGGCTTCTGGAAACTTCAGCTGCCCTGTGCTGCTGAGCGTCCCTTCCCCTGTTCCCAGTGGCGACTCCTGTGGGGTTCAGCACACGGGACAGAAGTCCTGCCCTGGGGAAGTGCAAAAGTGGGGCAACGCTAATGCCACCTGGGCTCCCTGGCCCTGCAGGTGAGTGGGCACGAAGGGGAGAAGGCTGGCCTGGCCAAGGAGCAACTACAGGTTTTTTTTTTTTTTTTTTTTTTTGAGACAAGGTGCTTATGCAGAAACATAAAGATTATGGGTATGACTTATCAAACACCTGCTATCTGCTTAGCAGTGAGCCAAGTGATTTACATGGAGGTTGCTAATTCCCATCACAAGCCACCAGATGAGGTGTAACTAGCTCCATTTACAAATGAGTAACTGAGGCTCAGAGATGAAAGAACTGGCCCCAGGTCACACAGCTATAGGTGGCAGAACCAAGATGGGTGTCCCTCCAGAGGCGACAGACCCTCCTCCCCGTGTGTTATACTGCAGCTGGGCTCCAGGCCCACAGACGATGTGGGTAGGTGGCTCCATGGTCTCCAAGGACCCTGCAGTGGCGGTTTCTCCAAGCCAGCCAAGGCCACTGTCCCCTGCTTCTCTTTCTCACAGACCTCTATGTCATGGTAGGGAGTCTGGGAAAGCAAAGGGCCAAAGCCGGGAGACCTGGGTGCCGGTTCAGGGTGTGGGACCCTGGGTAAGTCACCTCTCTGGGTCTCAACTTTCTGATTTGTAGAATGTGAAGAGCAGCTGGCACCATGGCTCATGCCCGCAATCCCAGCACTTTGAGAGACCAAGGTGGGCATAGTTTGAGACCATCGTGGCCAACAGGGTAAAACCTCAGCCTCTACGAAGAATACAAAATTAGCCGGCATGGTGGTGCACACCTATAATCCCAGCTACTTGGGAGGCTGAGGCAGGAGAATTGCTTGAACCCGGGAGGCAGAGGTTGCAGTGAGCCGAGATTATATCACTGTATTCCAGCCTGGGCAACAGTGCGAGACTGTCTCAAAAAAAAAAAAAAAAAGCAAACAGTACTCACTACTCCTTGTCTGGCCTGCATCTCAGGTTGTTGTGTGGACCCAATGAGAGAAAGAATCAGAAATCCTCTGAAGTCTACAGAAAACTGGAGAAAGATGGCTTCCATTTCTGGAGGCCTTCCTACCTGCCAGGTGCTTGGTAAGTGGGTCATGGGCGTCGCCTTGTTCTCAGACCTTAAGAGCTGGGGAAATGGCCCACAGTTTGCCGATGAAGAAGTCAGTGGACAGGGAAGTTAAGTAGCTCACGGTTACACAGGAGCAGAGCCAGGGCTGGACCCAAAGCCTCTGATCCTCCCCTTGTCCAGACGGTGCCCAGCCCTGGAGTGGGAGGGGCTGTGCAAGACAGCAAGACTCTAGGACAGCCCACACTCAGCTCCTGCTGAGCTGAAGCAGGAGTGCCCATGAGGTGGGGACTGCAGGGGCCCTTGCTGCTGATGAGTCCCTCCTGGCTCCCCTCCTTCGGATTCTTGACTAGCGCAACCTGAGAGAGTCACCCTGATTTCCTCTGGTGGCAGCCAGTGGGGAGAGTACAGGGAGAAACGGGAACTAAAGGCATTGCTCATCCTCAGGGAGACAGCTGGGTGAGTGCATGTGCACACACACACACAGAGTCACTGTCCTGGACACCAAAATCCATGGGTGCTCAAGTTCCTGACATAAAATGGTGCAATATTTGCATATAACCTATGCACATCCTCCCATATATTATACTTTCGCTCATCTTTAGTCTGCTTATAATACCTCATACAGTATAAATGCTATGTAAATAGCTGGTATATTGCATTGCTCAGGGAATGATGACAAGGTTGTTGAGTGCAGACAAATGCAGGTCGTCCATTTTTTGGGAATATTTTTGATCTACAGTTGGTTGAATTCACGATGCAGAACCCATGGACCTGGAGGACTGACTCTACACACACATACAATCACACATACACACACACACAAAGGAATGAATGCAGATACGTGCACACTACACACACACATGCACAAGCACCCTGAGCACATATATGTGCATACAACCCCAACCACATGGACCCAGATGCATGCGATGCATGTGGCACAGATGGCTTGCACACTCACCCCTGTGTGCACACAGGGTGCATGCACATGCCTGAGCCCACACTCACACTCCTCCCTCCCAGGTCCCTGTTCCTGACAAGTTCGTGTTGTCCCCAGGTGTCTTCCTTCATGTTCTCTGGGGGAGAGACTGACCGTGGGATTCAGCCTTAGTTGCAGAGGGAAGGGGAGAGAAGAAGAGAGCAGGGTAGAGCGCAGGTGTGCAAAGGGTCAGTTATCTCAGCCCAGGCAGTTACTGAAGACCTCTGTCAATGAGGTGGGGGGTTCCGAGCCCTTCCACCCTGCCAGTCCCCGCACTGCAACTCACCTGCAGGCAGGCCACCCCGACACCCACCGCCCCCATGAGCAGCAGGTGGTCAGCCAGGAACTGCTCCAGCTTGGTGAGGCAGCCTCCCTGTAAGAGATGGGCAGGTGACGCGGCCATGGGCCAGGAGCGAGGATGGGCGGGGAGGAAGGGAGGGCTGTCACTGCAGCAGACGCTGAGGACAGGCCAGAGGACTCATGGGCTGGACCCAACCTTGAATTGGTCAGAGGCTACTTGAGTGGCCCCAGGGGCATGCCGTGGTGTCCTAGACTCTCCAGTACGAGTCACTTGTCCCAGGGCTTTGTAGAGACCCTGGAAAGCTCCAGGCACTGTGGGCTCATGGCCAAGGAGCACGTGTGTCCTGCTTTTCCCACACCCATCTGCCCGACCCAGCCTTTCAGGGGCTCCTGAACGGCCAGGCTGGGGCCCTCTTGTCACCCCCAGCTTGAGCTTGAATGCTCACCTCCACCTTATAGATGTTGGAGGGGTGGGCCCGCCGGCCGCAGCGCACCACCACTGTCTTGCAGCAGCTGTCGGGCACCCGGCGGCCCTCGGCCTCCCGCGACAGGATGTACGTGCTGCGCTGCCAGTCGGCTGAGCTGTTGCTTCCGCAGCACTTGAACTGGAGGCAGAGGCAGAGGCTGGAGGTGAGAGGCCTGTATAGGGTTCCAGGGCCACAGGATACATTATTGAAATACTAACCCAACCCCTGTTTGTCTGCCTGAACCATGGTTAGTATTTGTATCATGTGTTTTCCCTTCCCTTGCTTTGAGCAGACAGCAGGTCGCTCTAACACTCGTAGACTCAGTGCTAAACTGCAGAGGACACCTGCTTGCCAGCTTTTTTTTTTTTTTCTGAGACATAGTCTCGCTTTGTCACCCAGGCTGGAGTGCAGTGGTGCAATCTTAGCTCACTGCAACCTCTGCCTCCTGGGTTCAAGCGATTCTCCTGCCTCAGCCTCCCAAGTAGCTGGGATTACAGGCACATGCTACCACACCTGGCTAATTTTTGTATTTTTAGTAGAGACGGAGTTTCACCATGTTGACCAGGATGGTCTCAATCTGTGGACCTCGTGATCTGCCTGCCTTGGCCTCCCAAAGTGCTGGGATTACAGGTGTGAGGCTTTTTAGCCACACAAGTCCTTTAAGGAGACTATGCTGGGTGCCTTGGGGGCAGGGCGGGTCTGCAAGGTGGGTCCCCAGAGAGTGAGGCTGTGTACCACTGGGTGACAGAGCCCAGGGTGGGGGTAAAACCACAAGGTGGGGGAGTTTCCTGGCCACTCAGGAGTCAGGACACGGGGACAGGGATCCCACCTGGCTAGAGGCTCCCAGGCCCCTATTCAGGCTCTGACGTCTCAGAGCCCCAGTCAGCCCATGGCACTGGCAGACCAGGGTCAATCAGAGGGGCTGTCGTGAGTGCTAAGACCTGGGGCCGTCTGCACCACTCCAGAGCAGGGAAGTGCCAGCCCGTTGTAAAATGATTCCAAGACAGCGGACACTGGTTGCTTCTTGCCTTTCCCAGTTGTGGCACTGAGATTCAAAGCCCCTGCACAGGACAGAACAGGCTGCTGTGAGGCTGTCGCTGGTATGTGTCTGGGGATGCGAGGGGTAGAGGTATGTTTAGATCGACTCACAAGAGTTTGCTGGGCAGCTGCTATGTGCCTGGAGTGAAGAACCCTGAGTAAGGCATGGGGCCTAGTCTTGGGTAGCTCAGCATCCACTGTCATGCAGTAGGAGGTAATGGGGGGTTAGTGCTCTGTCCAGAGCCAGGAGAGAGCCACGGGTGAACAGGGGCCCCAGGAGTTGAGGAGAGCCTGACGGCACACAGACAGCGCAGAGACTCGCAAGGAGTCACAGGGGAACTGCGCATTCCACGTGACTCTGCCCATCTGTGCTGGTGCCGCCGGATGGCTGTGTCATTTGTAAAGTGTGGACAACAAAAGTACCCCCATGCCAGGCTGTTGTGAGGACTGAAAGAGGTGATTTACATAAAGCACTTAGAAGAGAGCCTGCCGCCCCGTCAGTGGTGAAGGAGAGACGCTTACTTCCACCATCACCATTGTGTGCATACAGCGTCGTGTGTCTCTGTCATTTACATCCACGTGGCACTGCTGGAGGGCACGATGCTGGCCCTGGCTCTGCAGCCACTGCTATCTCGGGGCTTGGTCTCCTGGCTGAGACGTGGCTTGGGGTTCTAAGTGTTCCTGCCCTATATGAGGGCCGTTTCTGCATGCACAGACGCCCTGAAGGTCTTCATCAGCGACCCAGCCTCCGCTCTTAGCTCTGCCTTTCCTCATCTGCCCCTAGCCCTGACCCTGCCACTCCCATCCTCTTCACTTAATCAAACCCCACCTCTGCTCCATGGGGGCCTCCCCACCTCCCCTGCTCTCTCTTCTGAGGTCCAGCCTTGCACTGACTGCTGTGTGTCCAGCTTCTCCAAAGGCAGGGATCCTGACCTGTTCCTCTTTTTCCAGCACAGTTCCTCACGGGTGAGGCCCAGCGGGTGGAGTGCACACTTAGTTTTGCGCAAGGCTGACCAGGAGTGTGTGCTGCTTCACCTTGGTCCTGAGCTGAGCCCATGGGTGGGAGTGTGCCTGTGGGCATGCACTTGCGTGTACATGCGGGTCGCAGGCCGCTATTTCAGAGAAGAGACTCCTCCATGCAGCCCCCATTGGGAGCTGGGCCAGAGTCTTGGAGAGATGGGAGGGGCCTTCTAGCTGAGCCATGATGCCCCTGGGACTCAGAGCTTGGCACTTCTACTTCCTCTACTTGCCTGATGTTCCCGGGGGGCAAGATCAAGGCCTCAGGTCTAGGGAGTGGGGGTGAGGAGTGGGGTGGCAGAGAGAACGGGGACCAGAGTGGGCAGGGGGTGCTGCCTTGAATTTTCTGACATGAACACTTCTGGATCCCAAGCAGTGCCGTCCAGGAGAACGTTCCGCAGTGAAGGCAGCATCCTACATCTATCTGTGCTGTCCAATCGGAGCTCACTGGACACGTGGGCTAATGAGCACTGGAAATGCAGTTGTTGGGACTGAGGAATTGAATGTTATATTTAACCGAGCTGGAAACAGCCACATGTGGGTGGTGGTGGCTGCCGTATTGGACAGGACAGCTCTGAGGTTCATTTGCTTGTGTCCCCTGTGTCTGGTCAGGCCAGTGGGTGTCCCTGGAGGGATTTGCTGCGACTCTTCTTGGAAAGGAGAAGACCTTTCTGTCCCCCAGCATTCTGCCTGACGGCTTGCACTGGAAGGTTTTGGGACAGCGTAACTGAAATTCCTCTGCTGGTTACAGCTTACTCTTACGGAACCGCAGCAGCTAGCTCCCCAAGGAATGAGGAAGGCAGCCCCACGGATGGAAGCAGGCTAGAGAGGAGCTTCCTGGGCCAGATCCTGGCAGGAGATAGAGTTCTCCTGGTACAGACAGCTTTCCGGCCCCAGAGGCCCCAGAATGGGAAGGCAGCAGGGGTGGGGTCTGGAGGAGGTGGTCGGGAAGGAGAGGAACCGGGTACTTTTCATGGCGGGTGGGGACAGCTACAGATGTAATCATATTTAATGCTCATATGCCCTAAAGAGGCTTCATTTTTAGGATGTGACATCTGAAGCTCAGAGAGGAAAAGTAACTTGCCTAGGGTCACACAGACAGGAAAGAACAGAGTCAGTGTTTGAACCCATGTGGGCCTGGCCTTCAAGGCCATGTGGGGCATGGCTTACATCCTGCTGGAGCCGGTCTACTGAGGCGGTGATCTGCGTGGCTCCCAGCTGCCCGTAGTTCTTGGTCAGAGTCCGGTTCAAGTGCTGCTTTAGTTCGTCACTCAGCTGGGGAGGGTGGGAGTGAAGGCGCCATCAACTGGGACCAGCCCCACCCCGCCCTGGCACCAGGCCCACTCCCAAACCTCCCCAGCTAATCCGAGAACACTGTGGACTGCAGAGGCTGCAGTGATGCAGAGGTTTCTCAGCAGTGGAAGGGACCATCAGCCAGAGACAGTGCAGAAGATGGCCACGGAGAGGAGGTTGCAAAAACCAGGCCCCTCTTTAGGGCAGAGGTGTGATGGGCAGAGCTGAGAGGCTGGGGAGACGGCTCAGGTAAAGGGTCACATCCAGAAGCAGGTGGGTGGCGGTGGTGAGGCCAGACATAGGGTGCTTTAAAATGTCTGTTGATCTTAACTGTGATCATGAGATGACACTGAAAATATTTATAATTGGGCTGGGTGTGGTGGCTCATGCCTGTAATCCCAGCATTTTGGGAGGCTGAGGCAGGTGGATCACCTGAGGGCAGGAGTTCGAGACCAGCCTGGCCAACATGGCAAACCCCGTCTCTACTAAAAAATACAAAAAAAATAGGTGGGCGCAGCGACAGGCGCCTACAATCCCAGTTACTCAGGAGGCTGAGGCAGGAGAATCGCTTGAACCCAGGGGGCAGAGGTTTCAGTGAACTGAGATTGCGCCACTGCACTCTAGCCTGGGAGACAGAGCAAGACTCCATCTCAAAGAAAAAAAAAATTATAATTGTTACCCTGTGGGCATTATGCCAGCACTGGCTTGAAAAACCAGCAGGGTTGTACTGTTTCTACCGGCCAAACATTACCCCAGTCAGGACCTCAAATCTCCGATTCAGAGGGCTCAAGGGTGGGAGTGAATGGGACTCACTCCGTCCTGTCCAAGCCAGGCAGGCAAGGCCTGATCCTGCTCAGGGTCTGGCATGTGATCCTGGCCCAGGCCTTTCTTCTTGGATGTCTCTGACAGATGGATTCATCCTCTAAACCATCCTTGGAAGGGGAGAAGGATGAGCCAATGTCCCATGGGAAACCCCCGTCCCCAGCTCCCATGTGGAAGACATCAGCATCAACAGATGCAGCACAGAATTGCTGGAGCGGGGACCAGCAGCTGGGATGCAGATGTGTAGGGGGATTGCCGAGGCCTGGGAAACAGGACCACCCCTGTGCCTGCCTCAGCTTCCCTCATCACAATGCAAACCTCCCTACCCACACTGCTTCTTCAGGGCACTGACAGAGGATGCAGGAGGAGGAAATGTCACTTACCCTCTGGTAATACACATGGGCCAAGACCCCCGCCACCAGCTCAACCAGGAAGATGATGAGCAGCAGGCAGAAATACTAGGAGCAAGGAGAGAGGAGGGTCACCACTGGGATTGGTACGCTGCTGTGACAGATGTTTCCCTACGGTGGTGGGGGCGGTAGAGATACCTGCCGGGACCCCTATCATCCATACCATCTTCCTCCTGGCTGTACCAGCCTCACTGGCTGCCGGCACCAAGTTCCCCACTTACCCCTTCCCTCTTTGGTCTGCCGACAATTCAGTAATGCATCCACCCACCCAACAGGTATTAAATACCTGCTATATGCCAGATGCCAGGTAGTGTAAGACGACTATTGCTCTCAAAGTTATTGATGTTGGGAAGACAGACAAGTGATTGCAATGCTGTGTTACAAATGCAACTATGGGGTACGCTCTAGAAATGGTGGGAGGCTCCTGGTAGGGTGGGCAGTCAGAGAAGGCTTCCTGGAGGTAGTGACACCTAAGTAACATCTTTAAGGACTGAACAGGCATTTGCTAAGTGAAGGAGGGAAGCACATTCTAGGAAGAAGGGAGAACAAGTGAAAAGCCTGGAGCCTGCAGGAAGCATGGGGCATTTGCCTTCAGGGAGTAGAGAATGCTCATGTAGCTGGAGTGCAGGGACCAGGGTGGACTGCAGCAACCGAGCCTCAGGAAAAAGGCAATCAGAGGTCCAGGGAAGGCAGGCGATTCCTGTGTTGTCTTGCAGCCCCAATGCCCATTTCCCGTCCCTCATGCCCCTGCAGGGGTTCTCATTTCTGCTCCCCTACTCACAGCCCTGCTGCTGCTGCTGGCTTCCCGGCCCTGCACTCAAGTGTGACCTGTAGGAGGACGTGGGCCGTGCTTCCTTCTCAGTCCCCCACTGGCTTGCACAGTCAGGGAGGCTCCTGGGACCCTGCCCGACCAACTCTGCTTGCAGGAGCAACAGGTCTAGAAGGCACGTTGGGCCTCCCTTTCTCCCCACCCTGGAAGAGCAGGGATGAAGCCGGCTACAGGCAGCCACAGAGCTCCCAGGCAGGGACAAGGGAAGAGACGAGAGGAGGAGCACTGCTGATCCAAATTGGCCCCACTGTGGGGAAGCTCAGCCCGACTCATGAGCACCTCCGACCCGGGCTGCCCCAGCACTGCCTGCCCACCCGGCCACAGCAGGGCAGCTACCCATGGTCCCTGGGATGGCTGGATTCTAAGGAAGACTCAGCCTGTGGGTGAGACTGAGACCCTAGGGCTCACTCAGCAGGCAAAGGAGTGTGGGCAGGAGGGATATGGTGGTGGGTGGTGGTGGTGTCCAGGGCAGACAGGGGCTGCTGGGCATTTAAGGGGGAATGCTTATTCCTGGGCCCATGGGCCTCGCCCAACCATCTCCTGCACCACTCAGCAGTGAGCCTGGCATGGGCAGGGATTAAGGAATACAGGGGAGGGGCCATTTCTTTTCACAGGGAGAGAACTGTGGCCTGAGAGCAAGGCTTCCTTTCAAAAGAAGTGAATTGCCCGCCTCCTCATTACAATTTTGTTGTGTCCTATAGTCTCCCAGAGCCAGGGACACAGGGAGACTTTCCAGTCTCAGAATAACAGCGTCAGGCCTAGCCCCATCGTTTATGGGGCCTGGGCCAAGAGCACAAAAGCAAGGTTCCTGCCCCTTCGTTTCCTACCTCAGGCTCTTCGCTGCACCAAGGAAAACCTCCAGCCGAGAGCCCTGTCCGCCCCTCCCCAGGGTCAGATGCCTGTTGGCCAGGGGTGTGAAGAGGGCTGGGTGAGGTGCAGGCTAGAGGCACACGTGCCAGGGGTCTAGTCAGCCTCAGGACATGCTTGCAGGTGCTGTATGCAGGCGCAGGTCTTCTGGACAGAGAACTCAAGCTCCTGGGTCCCCGCTAGGAGGTCAGGAAGTGGGGAAGGGAGGTGCAGATTCCACAAGGGCACATTCCCTCCGCCCTACGGACTTTCCACTCCCTGGTGGGGAGTGTGGATGGAGGAGGGCCCCAGGCCAGGGCCCTGGGTCTGTGTGCGGTACTGAGTGGCATACAGGGTAAGCTGAGGCAGGAGGCTGAAGTGAGGGTCTGTGGATGGTCCCTCTGCTTGAGGAGCCTCTGGGAAGCAGGGCCTGACACTAAGGAAGGCTGGGGGAAATGTCTGTGAACTTGGGTCGGGTCCAGGCTCTACCACATGCTGGCTCTAGCTGGGTGGCTGCTAACGCTTTGGTGCAAATTAGAAAAATGTGGCTCAGCAAGAATTGCATGGGCTGGATTTCAGCCTTCTCTGGTCCCCTCAGGTAGGATGCAAACTTTAGGGCCAACGAGGACCGAACAAGAGGGGAAATGTGCTTTCCAGTGATCTGACCCGCCTCCTGCCTTCCCAGAGCTCCAGGTAGCACAGCATGTGGGGTGTGGTCCTTGTCAGCCAGTGGCAGGCACAGCCAGCCCATGCCAGGTGTGGTCCCCCTGTGAGCCGCTCGGCCCATCAGACAAAACATGGCTACACGTTCACCCTGACCCCACCCAGAAGGCCCTCCCCTGCCACACGCTGCTGGGCCCTGCAGCTCCTCTCTGACATGCGTGCCCCTCCTGCCTACTCCAAACTTCCCTCCACCACCCCCAACTACGATGCTGAGGCCAACTCCCTCCCACTGCACAGGACCTGAAGGGACTGATGCTAGTCAATCCTAGAGCCCACTGGGGCATGGGAGGAAGAGGTGATGGAGCGCCCCTAACTGACAGGAACACCCAGGCTGCTGGCAGCTAGGAGGGCCCATCCTGGCATCTCAACATCTTCCTTCTCTCCATCGCCACCGTGGGCTGAGTCAGGCCCACAGGATACTCCTGGATAGCTGGCCGTGTCATGCCGCTTCTTGGGGTAAGTCACTGCCCCAGTTGCTATTAAAGGCAGGGTGGGGAACGGGGAGGATGGGCAGGCAGAGATACTGAACTTTGCCCCTTGGTTTAGTGGCTGGCTAAGGCAGTACATGCTATCCTACAGGCCTGTTCGGAGGCATCAAACAGGCTCTGACCTGCTGGAGTGGTCGGGAGGAGGGGAGGGGGCTCGGCAGGGGCGGTGGATTGTGGGGATAGCCCGCTCCAGCTTGAGTGTGTAAAGGTGCCTGGGAGGGGAGTGAGGGCTGGCCTGGGGCTTCGAGGGGACTAAGGCTGGGTGCTGGTGGGCACAGGTGCTGGCTCCAGGCAGCAGCTTCCACAGCAGGGAGGCTGCAGGTATGTGCCTCACCTGGGCAGGTGTGTGACGGACCCAGGAGGCAGGTGAGACTGGCCCAGATCATCAAGATGCTAGTGCTTCAGCTGGGGGAGGTCATGGGCTCTGACAGACCCCTCACCCCTGCCCTGCCACTTTACCCAGGCTTTCCTGACTCCCTGGGTCTGGCGGGATCATCTCAGGGCCCCTGTAGCCCACGCTGGCTCTGTGTGCAAAGCTGCGAAGTGTTCCTGGCATTGCTACACACAGTTCTCTTCACACAGGCCGAGCGTCCAGCCTTCAGGCCTTTGCCCTGCCTGTCCCTCTGCCTGGAATGCAGGGGCCTACCTGTCCTTCCATACCTGGCTTGGCTCAGTCATGGCTCCACCAGGCCATCCTTGGGCGGGAGCACCTGCCACTCCCTGCCGTCGGAATGCCTGCTGCGCGTGTCTGCTGTCTCCTGACACCTGCACTCTCTGCTTTGCGTCTTCTCTCCTCAGCTGGACTGGGCTTCACCTCTCTGTCCCTCCCCTGCCTGCTGTGCGGTTCCTCTGTGAAGGTCATCACTGCACGAGAGACACAACTTTCCTCTCTGCTCTGTAGCAGCACTTTTGCTACAGGTGTTACCACTCTGTCCCCTAGAACTATGAGCTTCGAGGGAACAGGGACTGCATCTGAGGTTGCTTCTGGCTCCTCCACAGTGCCTGGTATGGTGCTGGGGCTAGACACGTGCTTGGCAGACATCCCCTGATTAAGACGCAGCAGTGTACTTTCTAACAGAGTATACCTATAAGACAGCAGGAACCAGCTGGAGCATGCCAGCCCCATGCTGGGGACAGTAGCTTCATCCTTTTCTGATCTGAGAGTAGCACAGAACAATTACCGTAGTTAAATTTGCACCAGTGGTCCTCAGCCTGGCACAATTTTGCACCCAGTGGGTATCTGGCAAAAGGAGAATCTAGAGGGTCAAGGCCTGGATGCTAAGCCTCCCACTGGGCGCAGGGCAGTCTCCTGCAGTGAAGAATGATCTGGCCCAAAATGCCAGTAGTGCCGAGGTTGCAAAATCCTGGGTCACACATTTACCTTCAGGTTCTCAGGCTGATGCTGAGACTTGATTTGCTTATGTTTCACTCTTGTTGCCCAGGCTGGAGTGCAATGGCATGATCTTGGGGGCAACCTCCGCCTCCCGAGTTCAAGCAATTCTCCTGCCTCAGTCTTCTGAGTAGTTGGGATTACAGGTGCCTGCCACCACGCTCGGTTAATTTTTTGTATTTTTAGTAGAGATGAGGTTTCACCATGACGGTCAGGCTGGTCTTGAACTCCTGAACTCAGGTGATCTGCCTGCCTTGGCCTCCCAAAGTGCTGGGATTACAGCTGTGAGCCACTGCACCCATCCCCAAGGAATGTTACCTAGCTCCCGAAGAGCTGGAAACAAACATGGATAGAAGCTTGTGTAGCACTGTACCTGCCTGGGAGGGCAGGAGGCAGGAGGCTGCTGGCCTCGACACAAGGAAGGATCAGGGAAGCCCATATTGCTTCAGCTCACATCCCCATGGGACCCAGGGGCTGGAATTCCATGAGGCCAGGCATATCCCAAGAGTTCTGAATGCTTCCTTAGGGACCATCTGTTTTCTGAAGCAGCCGTGGATTCCTCCAGTTGCCTCAATGAGCTGATAAGGGGTGTGATGCCATAAGGTTTGTGTAAGGGGTTGACTCCAGGAAGCATGAAGAAGGTTCTGGAAATACTCTTTGCTGTCTTTAAGTTGGGTTTGGTGTTTTTTGAATTAGTATACAAAACTCAGTAATAATAAATTCTCAGATAGCCCATATTTCCATGTAGTTAGAATTCACTGGACCTCATGCT